ATTGAGTACCTTGGTCATCCGTGAACTCAGTGATTATGACTATACTCTGATCCATTGAATGCATTCTTGTAGTTAACAGTTATTGTCGGACAATGAGATAATCACTAATGAATTGTATGGCAATCAATGAATTTCCTTATGTTTAGTACATTACATATGATTTCAATAATAATTTTGAAATTAATATTTAAATAAAGGCTTAGGAGTCGTTCAAAGAGTACGTAAACTTGAAGATTTCTATTCTTATTCAGCCCTTTAGTGGATTTTTAATTAATTTAATATAAATGCTTAATTTATGACCCTGTACAGTACTGTATAATACAATTCCCATAGAATTACTATTTTATTGAATTTATAAAATATTATATTTTATTTTTGGCAAACATTAGATAGTTGATTACTAAGGTAACTTATTTATGTTATAATTCAATTTAAAATCTTATTTTTATTTGTAAATATTCACTAATAATGAAATAAAGGTGAAATTTAATTATTAATAAAATCAATTTTGTTTATTTTGAGTGGTTAATAAATAAAATGCATACACAAATAATAATATATCATTCATATAACAACTCATTCATAATATGTATATAAAAATCTCTGAATTGATAATCAATTACTCGTATAATAAACTAATTAGAAAATATAAATGTCTTTCATTCGCGAAATCATTCAAACAATTAATAATAATAATAATAATTCTCATAAAAAACATTATTTACAATAAAATGAATAAAAATATGAAGATTTTGTAGTGTTTTGAAAACAATTAGGGTTTTGAAAAATATAAAATAAAAAGATTCAATAACTTAAGTGTTTAGCACTAAATAGGTATAGGGTAAAAATCTTAAAACATTAATGGGGTTTAAAATAGTTACGAAAATTGGGGCCAAAGGTGGGACGGGTGTGAAGGTGTATAACCTCTTTATTTATTTAAGACCCCATAATCTATATAATATATATTTTAAGTGTAGTTTAACAAATTTAGTGCTAATAGTAGGGATTTGTGTATATGTGAAGGGGCAGGAGGTTTGACTATAGTTTGTGTTAAATACAAGGCAAGGATACAGGGTAAATTAACACAACTACCCCACACATAGTTACACTATTTTTTAAACCAGTGGTTTTCGAGGTTATATAGATATAATGTCATGGATTTTGAAAACCCCCTAAAAAATCACACCTTTATATAACATATCAAAGTAATCGCCATTAAGTCGCCGGTAAGAGTAGGCCGTGCGATATATGGGAAGTAATTAGTGAGCAAACAATTAGGCCCCGGGTCTCGTATTCAGATTACACACATAGTCGGTGACCAAAAAGTTGAGGCAATAGTTGGCGCCGTCGTTATTGTCCCAAAACTCGCGCCCATCGCCCGTCTGATAGCGTACGGCGAAGTAGAGGCGCGGGTGAAACGGAGGTACCGGTGCCGTGGGTGTGGCCGGTGCTCGCAGGGCCGCCACAAACTCCTGGGGCTTTGAGTAGATGGCAAACGAGAACTTGTCGGCGTGACCCTCGTGGGAGCCCAGCATATAGTTGGCCACCACCTCCACGTACGTGCGCCAGTCGTTGCGCGTATAGCGTACGTACACCCGCTTAATGAACGAGTGGTTGCGTACGGCTATAATGCCGTAGATCGTCGTGTCGGCGGTGGACACCGAGTGCAACGACACGGATAGGCGTTCCACTCGGGCGTTGAAGTCCGCCCGGAGGGAGGGGTTGCCAAAGTTGGCCGGTATTAGCGAACACTTGCGTCCGTTGGCGTAGTCCTCGACAACCGGCGCCTTATTGTAGAGCTGGTTGTACAGGAAGGTGGGCGCTGCTATGGTCGAGTGGCGCCGGCGTACCGGTTGCGGCGATATAGCGAAGTACTTGATTGACTCGAGTTGGCCGCCCATGGAGTCGGCGAACCGAACGTTCTTCTTCTCGGTGGGCGATGTGGGCGCCGACGGGTCGAGCTCTGCGTACATGTTGGGCGGGCATTGCCGTAATATGGAGGTGCGCCGTATGCGCCGGTCGTTTTTGTAGCCCAGGGGCTGTACGGTCTGCGGCTGCCGTTCCTCGAGTTTCTTGCCTCCCGGCCCAGTGTTGGCACAGGCGTTGGTGGCCGCGGCTAACCAGGCGGCCGCTGATTCGTGTTCAGCACCTGTAGGTCAACAGAGATTGTAATGTTAATAGAGATTGAATAAGTTTTGCAAAAGTTTTTAATATAAGTTAGTATTATAGTAATATTTTTAATAAAGTTTCAATAACTATTGGTTATAATTAGATTACCCGTCCGTTTATGGTTAAGATATATATATTTATTATTTTAGTGACATAGGATTAATGCCATGGTCATGTCACACATACCAGACCATTGTTTATTGAACCAGATTAGTTATTTAAATAGTAGAAAGGTTATGTATTTTTATATGTAGTATGAAATTAAATTTTTAAATTATATTAATGAAAAATTGTTAAATTGTTAAACTCTAGTACAAATTGGCATTTTACGATAAATAAATTTTTTAATTTTCATATTAATACACTATTATTTTAACTATAAAGTATACCTTATATTTTAGGATATAATAAAAAACATCACAAGTATATTACACAACATATCATATGTTTTAAACTATACACCATAAAAACTAATAAATAATATATAAAACAGAACTTATTTTTGTTTAATAAAAACTAATTAATTGAGAAATAATTGACAAATATTTTATCTTTAAAGGGAAAGCCGGCTAATACACAGAGCACTCACAAGTTTTTTGGCATAAAATCTAAATTTTTCAAATAACATATAAATCATTACCACATATGAATAGCTGATAATTATGAGCGCGAGTATTAACTCTGGGCGCGCGGGGCGTCTGAAAGCCATACCCCTCGTGTGGTTTCGGGCATAAAGTCATTATTATTACGGGAGATGACGATAGGGGTTGGTATGCCGCGGGTCCCGGTGCGCACACTGACCACTCACCCTCACGTACACCGCATACAAGTTTTTATTACTTTTGTTTCAATTATTATTTAAAAACTTATTATATATTCATGTATTGACTGACGTTTTGACAGTTATGCGTGAGAATCGCGTTATGAATGAATTGAAAACAACTTTTTGATTATGATTTTGGAGTCGATTTTCTATTCGACAATTCCTATTGAATATCACTTCAGATATATTGAGTGGCGGTTAAGGCAGTGGTGAGTGTGAATCGCATGAACAGCCGGTGCTCTCTCTCGCTGGCGAAACCTTAACCCCAATTCCCAATGACTGCCACTATATTAACAGCACATATATATTGGTATACTATTTAAGAACATACAGTTCCCAACTTGATATATGCCACTCCACACAGAGTATAGAGTGAGTGACAATTATCCGACAATTTCTGTCTCTCATATACTATACACTGAATACTCAGATAGAGTATTAATAGTCTAAAAATAATAGATAAGGACGGATAGCGCACCAGTAGTTTATTGATGAAAAGAGTATTGGTGCCAAAATTCCCTGCCCATCATAACAAAGACCATTACTGTATCTCT